ACTTTCATTTGCTCTTTTTCCGCCAACTTGTCATCCAATTTTTTCTGCAAAAGATAATTTTATAAACAATATTATTATAAAAATGATGATATTACAAAATTAAGTAAGAAAGCAAATTTACCTTGCATTTCTCAGCGAATTTTTGTGCATTTTCAAGTTCAGATTGAAGAGACGGAAGATTGATGTTCTCTTGATGTGATTGGGAAATAAGCTCATTCATCGGTGACAAAATCTCATTAATTGTTTCATTTAATGCTAATTCAAATGCATTAATTTGTTCATCAATTTCAGATAATGCTTTTTTATCGTTTTTCATCTTCCCTCTTTCCGATTCTTCCTCTTCCATGATTGGACTCAAGTTTGTTCGTATCACATTCATGCGATTGAGTAATTCGGCTAGTTTCATTTCTATTTCTTTTTCAAGTGCATCACGGTCCGCTTTATTTGCTCGTAATTTCTGCAACTCTACAGCCAATATTTGTGTATTCTCATCTTCTACAGGAAGCTGCTGTAATTTTTCTTCAACCTTCATCAATTTCTCTTCATCATACGGTTCTGTATGCAGCTTTTCTAACTCTTTCCTGATAATCATTGCTTTTTGTTCCCTTTCAGCTTTTGCAAAATTGTCCAGTTGTTCGTTAACAAGCAAGCAAATATGATTCAATTGTTCTGTTAATATTTCAATTGATGGTTGAGACATAGGATTGACGTGGATACGAGTTCGTTTTACTTCATCATTTTTTGTTTGAAGAGCTTGCAATTGAGCTTGCAACGGTGGTAACTGATGATTTAGTATCTGAAATGAAAAACAAAAATTGAATCATATTTGCATTCTGACAGAAAATGTTATCTTAAATGAATAATAAAATTAAAGGCGGAAATTTTTTGTTAAAAATATATCAATGATCTACCTCTTCAAATTGTTCACGAACAATCGGTTCCATTGAAAGCCTTTCATTAAGATATTCTAATTCTCTAGCCATTTGTTGCGTAGATTCATTCAGAATGTTTTCATCGTATAGTTCGTTATTTATCAATGATATGAGATTTTCATATTGTTGTTGTGTTTGTTCAACATCTACGTCATAAAAACGAACATCAGCGTATGCGGTTTCCAACGGATCTAACTGCTCGCAAAGATCTTGTAATTTTGACATCACACTACGTAAATCGTTTACTTCCAAAGCTGCTTTCTGAAATGAATATATAGCATAATTGATTGTAAAAGAGAAAGTTAAACAGTTTTTGATGATTAATAGGATGAAAATTTCCATGCAAACCTTAAGTTTATCCAGATCATCAGCTACTTGTTCATAGGATCGAATATGCTTGTTTCCAATCTCATCAAGTGGTTTCCGTTTTGTTTCAAGTTGATCTGTTGCATTGTCTCGTTCATCAACAAACTGTGACCACAGATTGGCATGATGTGATAAATTGGCTTGGAGTGCTTTTGCATCCTTAACAGTTGTTTTTAAACGTATAGCCATTTCATCATTTTTTGGCATTATCTTAAGCAATTCATTTGCTGCTTCAAGAGGGCTTATGAATGCTTCCGATTTGGTAGCATATATAGTTGGAATTGCTTCAGCATCATTCAGCACTTTTTGACCTTCCTTAATTAAAGTGTTTAATTCATTATATAACAGAATGCTATCATCGTCTATTTTCTCTGCGGCACACTTCTCCTCTATTGTTTTCTGATCATCCTGCAATCAAAAAATAAATGCAATAAATGAAATAGGAATAAATCAATTATAGTAATTTTGTACATAAATATTATTACTTAATTTTTATCCTAGGACGATCGAAAGCTTCTTCAACTGTATGAAGAAGATTCTGTTTTTCAGTAATTTTATCCGCATCAAGATCTTTCTCATCAGCATCATTGATCTTATTTTTAAAGCTTTTCTAAACTAGCAAATTTATGATCAACAAAAAATAACAATGAACTGTGTTTCATATTTTGAGTAATAAAGAAACGATTGTGAAAAACAAAAAAATAATAATAACAGTAACAGAAACTTACATTTATATCATGTAGCTGATTATCAGGTTCAGACACAGTATTTTCATCAGAAATCAATGTTGGTATAGTTTGTGTGTCAATTTCCTCTTTAATTGCAACTGCATCAGCTAATCGTTTTAGAACATCATTGAGTTGTCCCAGTAACCAATTACACTTTTCTCGTAATTCACTGCCTTCATCACCTTGAGGAATATTTTTGAGCAGATTTTCAAGTTCATATTTCTTTCCCTCTAGCTCACTTAATGCAACATTTTGCTCCTCAATTGTTTGCATTGGTATTTGTTCCATTTCATTAATGTAATTTTGCACACTTTCGTTGATCAAATTTATCTCCGGAGTTATAGCACATAATTTAGCACGTTCTGTCAATTTTTCTTTCTTATCATCAAGTGCATCTTGTAACTGTACAACACGACCAAATAGATCATCAGTTACTAATGCATGTTTAACCATCCCTTCCGAACTTTGTAACTTTTCTTCCAACTTTTCAATTTTTCCTTTTAATTGTCGCAAATTTTCCGCTAATTGATGAATGCTTTCTAGCTGTTGTAATGATTCAGTATTGGGATCAACTGCAATAACATCATCACCAATTGCAGTTAATGTAGACAATGTTTCATGCAAATCGCGCATCAACTCTTGCTCTTTTTGTATATCTTTTTTAAGCGGAACAAGCAAATTTTCGATTTTGTTCTTCATAGTATCTGCTTTCTTTATTAAATTATCTTTAAGTCCATCTTCTGTAATATTTTCCATTGCTGATAATGATGGAATTTGATCCTGAAGAGAATACAGCTGATCGACATCTTCCATGGCAATTAATAAATCTTGTGATGTGGTATATTTCTTGATAAAATCATCAGTTTTTTGTTCCATATTATTAAGCTCTCGTTGAATGTCATCAAATAGATTCTCTTGTCTTTCTGCATCATTCAATTTATCATTCACACGTGTTGACAAATCATTAAATCGATCATTTAGCATATCGACATTATGATAAAGCTGCTTAATGTTTTCCGTTTTTACCGGTAATATTAGATCTCTGATACGATCAGATTTTTCAACTACTATTGGCAAAATCATATCTTTGAAACTCTTCAATGCATTCATTGTTCCTTCAAGTTTTTCGAAATCATTTTCCGCATTAACAAGAGTTTGCTCAAAATCGTTGATCAAACTTAACAGATTATTTTCAGCCTCCAATTCTTGCTTCTTTTTCACACTCTCGTCGTGCCATTGTTGGAAATTTTTGCTCACATCTGCTAAACGATTATCGAAATTTTCAACTGTAGAAGCAGGTTTCAATAATGGTGTTAATTGTTCCTTCAATTCGTGTAATTTTTTCAATGATTCTTGTAATTCATTAACATCACTAAGTCCTTTATCGGCAACGGATAATTCACAGCTGGCACTTGGAACTTCTAATTTATGTACATTATCTTCAAGATCCATCAATCGCTTATTTACACTATCCGCTATTACATCAAATTCATTCAGCATATCAAGTCGATCTTCCAAATTCCTTTCAACATTGTCATATTGTTCATTTAGTGTCGAAATCTCATCAAATACATTTTCATAGAATAAATTCATATCCGGTACGTTTTCTAGTTGATCGTATGCATTTTTTAATGCTGTCAAATGTGATCGACCATTTTTGAGATCATCAATTGCCTTCCGCAAATCGCTTGCTGTTGCGTTGACATCATTTTCAACTTTATATGCTTCATCGACAATATAATGCAGCTCTTGAGCTTCATTACTAACTGTCGATTGCAATTCCGTTGAAGCAACTTGATTCGCCAATTGCTCTTTGGTTTCATTCAGAAGTCGATTAACTTTTTCATATTGATCAACTACAGATGTTATCTTTAGATCATCTGAATGTAGCACCAGTTTCATTGGTTTGTTTTCCTTTTCCTTCAATTCTTTCAGCATATCACCTACTTCTTCAAGCTCATTTTTCAATTCTTCTAATCGTGGAATTTGTGTTTCATCATGTGGTTCATTACGAATCACTATGGCGCGATCATTCAATCCATTCAATTGATTGATTAAATCGTTTTGTATGTCAACAAGTTGCTTTTCTGTTGAAACATCTTCAATAAGTGATGGCAATAATTTCTGAAATGTTTCACATTAATTATAAATTTACAAAAAAAAAAGAAATAAATAACAATCAAAAATGTAATTTTTTTTTCTTTTAAATCAAGCAATTTAGAAAGAAAAAAAAAAGAAATTATATGAAAATATATAAAATACCTTAACATCTTCAGTAGCTTTTTCAATTTGTTGCTTGATTGCATTGATTGCAGGATGATAGTTAGGCAAATTTTGTGATAAAGTTTGTTCTTTATCTATCGTTTTTTGCAATAATTTCATGATCTGATCCTGTAATCGTTGCAATATGTTTACATCATTGATTGCTGTTGGGTACGGTTGCGGTTGCGAATAGCTATCACGTAGTCCTTCAATATTGTCCATAATTACCCGTATTTCATCTTCTAATTCGCCTTCAGCAGTTTTCCAATCAGCAAGTGATTTTAAATGACTTGAAATAGATTCCCGTAAAGCATGTAGCTTATTAATAAGCGACATCGCTTCATCTAATTTTCTTTCCATATCAATTCGTTGTTCCTCGGTCATATTACTGCTATCACAAGCTTTCAACTTATCAATTAGTGAAACCATGAACTGCTCTAAATTCTCAATATTTTTCGCCTTTTCTCCAATATCTTCCGGACTATCGGCACTTTTTAGATCGATATCATATGCTAGCAATTGATTGCCCAAAGATAATTTTTCTTCCAATTCTGTAAGCTCCGATTGCAT